CTCTGGGAAACAATACAAAACGTTAAACTGTTGATTTACTTCGCACGTATTAGGTCTGAGGTTTTTGCCTTTATTAGCTGATCCATGATTTTCACGAGCGAGCGCAGCAATTGTATAATTTGAGGAAGACTTTATCGGAAAATGTAACTTGGCATTTCTCGAGGTCAGTTGAGTGCTCTCTGTTTGTTGTGCCTCGGGTCTTATGTGGCTCGTTTCTGGCATTTGCTGGCCATAGCTCACGCCCAAAGATTGGTGCAGCCTGCGTCAACGTCTACAAGAAAGCATATCTACGGCATCTGTGGTGCTTTGGTGCTGCAACCCCTTCGAGACCTCCTGTTGCGGTGCATGGGCTGTTGTGATTGGCCTCCCTGACATGGCGCCGCTTGGATGTGAGACAGTGGCGGGACACAGCTCCCAGAGGTGAAACACAAGCGACTTGAACGACACGCAAGCCGTACTTAGAATTTTGTGGCGCAGTCGTCTTTCCTCGTAGAACCCCTTGAACTTACCCAACCGACTGGCGACCTATAAAAGGCTGTTTACAGTCAAAACAGCTTAAAAAAGGTGGTTTTCTCCGTACGTTTCTGTTCATCGGAGTGCCGCGGACAATAAACCAAGCAACTGAGAATCGTCCGTGAGTGCATTTCCCACGTTCTGCTTGGTGCCTAATACACCTGTTTCCAAAAGTCGTGGCCTGCCTGGCACTGTATACTCATCACTACAATGGTATACAGAGTTCATTTCCACGTGGGACTCAATGTCTTCGTGCTGTGCTTTGTCGAGCGCGGTGTGCAGTGTTTTCTCCCTCGTCATGTGCTGAACTGAGCATGCCTCTTTCCCCTTTCGTGGGTTGTGAAGAAGGCGGCATTTCACCTTCCCCTTTCGGGGGTGGAGGGGAAGATGGCAAAATTTTTTTAACTGTCCGGGCCTCTATTGCTTTTTCTGCAGAGAATTCTGGGAAGGCGAGGATATAAAGTGCGAGCGCCGAGGCACGCCCGACAAGCTCTCACAAGCGTCGAGAAGCTCACAGAAGCTCGAGGGCTTCCATGATGGCAACCCCATGATGTAGCAACACGCTACCTGTAAATAATGTAAATTAAAGCTACTGTTAGCAGCTCCGAGCTCCTCTCCCCGGTACTCTGGCTGGCTCCGGTCCTCATGGCAGACCCCCTAACACATAATTGGCCTACATGTCCAACGTTTGCCTTTGAAAACCGAGCACAAATTCATAGGCGTCACTCTCAACTAAAAACTTACACGCATTTCTCACCTAAAATCTATAACGAGCAAGTGCGTAGAAAGTAAGAATATCCGAAAAGTATTATCACGCACTTCTTGGGGTAGTGACAAGAAGTGCCCCATTAATCTCTACAAAAGCTTCATGCGCTTACGCCTAGATTATACAGCGATAATCTGCTAGTCTGCAACTCCAAGCTGCCTGAAGATACTCAACTCTGTTCATCATTTGGGCATAAATTAACTCTGGCATCATTTGGGCATGAGGGGGCTTTAGCAGGAACCCCGTAGAAAGCCACCATGTAGAATCGCATGAGTGGTCGCTCCAGTTGCGGAGATGCTGGATGTCTTTTCTGTACTCTCTCAAGCTGAACGCCCACAAAGATCAGGCCTCCTCCTCCATAGTCAATGATTTCTCAGCTTCTCCCTTGTTTAACAACAGTCCTTCGCTGAAACAGCCGTTGTCACACCGTATTAGGAGCTTCGCTGGGGAAACATGCGGGTCACTTCTGGAACACCATCTGATGGCTCCCGCAGCACATCCGCCGCCGTGGCAGTGGCAGGTTATAGACTGCGATGTATCCATCGTAAATGTTACTGAACACGCACCTCCTGCACACAATCTGTACATTAGCCCAGCTTAAGAAGAAAACTCCCTCGTACCTTTACCGAAACACAGAAGACTGAATCATTACATATACACGTCCCGTTATGAGTTAGCAGATGTTCTGTTACCGATTTCCAAAACTGCTAAACTACTTGGCAGAACATCACATTGTGGTGGAATCAATAGTAAGAAAACATTAGGGCATTTTGTGGATCTCTTTGATACTTTATGCCAAAGGCAAATTGTACGTTTTTTTAAGTTTATATTCGTTTACATAATGTTCTTTTTAGGGGCGAAGCTCCTTATAGCGGCGCCCGTTCATCCCTCGTAGTCGTAGTAGTAGCGTATAACCAGTCTTACATTTTGACCTCCAAGGTGATACCGGTGGGAGATTTCTTCTGTGCGTTGTTGAACAATAAAAAATTCGCAGTGTGCGCGTTAACTAAAAGCTGAATACTGCTGTCTCTCATTTCCCCTTAGCAGCCATTGGCATGTACATTGAGCACTATCTGACAAGAAAGGGTTGCTACGTTATACTCGCTGGGCGTAACCTCCTTGATTTTAGAAAGGTTTGGCGAGCGTTGGGCCGCAGTGCCATGAATACAGTAAACTAGTATATACCATGAACTCGAAGTGGCTAAAGGTGGGAAGTAGACACGAAGCGCAAGCCGTGAGAAAGTGTGCTTGTGCCACCTCTCGTTTAGTTCATGGAATGGCCATTGGATGGCGGTGCTTCTATATGGGGAATATAGGATGAAAAGATGCGAGATGGTAGTACTTGGAGTGTTGACTAGTTGGACGAACGGAGACACAGACAGATGCATGGACGGACTCACGGATGACTGCACTGACGGATGGACGCATGGACGGATGCAGGGGCGGATGCATGGAAGAACGCAGGGACGGACGCACAGATGGACGCACGGACGGACGGAACCAAGAACGAATGGACGGACGGATGCTTCGCCCCACTCTCCATCATTCCCTCCGTGGATATGCTGCCATTTTTTTCTCTTTCCTCCCTCCGCAAAACATAGCTAAGATATTCACTGTGCTTCTCTTATTTCTGAAGTATAGCATCTGGTTTGTCTCACGTACCAAGAATGCTCATTAAAAAACAGAAAAACACAAACTGTACAACCAAGCGGCATTTGTTAGCACATATGCGCATATCGTTTGTTTTTCTTTGTACCACAACCACTATCCTGCTGTTTGCCTCGTAAAGGGGGCCCGAATTCCCGTCAAGTGAATGGTGTTTCACTTTTTTGTTCGGGCCTCATCATAAAAGATTAACTGAATTTAACATTCGCACACACTTCCTCGAACCTCCACATAAATAGAGTTGTCAAATTTTACACATGCGCCAAAATCACGCACTAGTGTTTCTTATGCGGCTGTTGGCCCGTCCTTTTGGATTCCGGTATTCTGAACTCCCAAACAAGCATCTTCTCCACAGTATCTCATGAGATATCAGTGGCTGTCAAGCATAATAATGAAATACAACTACAACGCGCGGTTATATACACAAATTCTCTGAGCACCCCGATAGCTTTCAAAACTCACAAAAACAATAAAATCTGTCCTTGTGCCGCTTTACTCCCTTTTATGCATGTTTTACGTCCTCAAAGCACATGTTGTGGGCTGGGTGCCGGGGCCCCGCGAGATCGCTGGAAACGTGGTGGCGGGCCAGGTACCTGAATCCGTGCACGACCACGCTGCCACCGATACATCCATGCTGTCCCTGCACTTGAAACCTTTCTTACGACGGGAGCTTAGGGTATGCTTCCAGCGTTTATGGGATAGGCAAAGTTAAAGCAAAAATAATGTTATGAAACCGTTACTTATGAATTGGAACAGCTTGTGATGTCAAAAATAGTTGCAAAGCTCAAAATAATTGCGGTTATGAATAGTTACACGAACTCTCATGAAAAGAGAACAATGACAGCATGCGCAAGTCACTAAAAGAGCTACCGGCATCGCTTTTAATTTTGAACGTTGCTGAATAAAAGGGCAAATCCATGTCCAGAATTTTTTCTATCCAAAAATATTGCTTATAAAACAACTACGTGTTTTTGGGAATAACTACTGCACCTACGAACAGCACGAAGGGTAAGCTTTCTGTCGCGCATTAAAAACTGAGTCGAAAAATAAAACAGTTGTCGCTCCCTTTAAGGTTCTCCGCATCCTCGTCCCGTGCAGTGGTTTAGACGTTCTAAGAAAAAAAAGCACTATTTATTGCCCTACCGATAGCTGATTCCATTAGAACCATCAATGTGCATAAGTATCTAATCACTTTTCACAAAGAAATCATTGCTGGTATTTTAACAGACGTGCAATTCACTCTCACTGCACATATTCCCGCCACTGTGGTGAATTTATAGCTATTGTGCTTTCACGCACGTTAGCGCGAGAAACTTTAAGACCCTTATACAGCCACATACCATAATCATTGTTCGCATCGCTTGTCTCATGACCTGGCACTTATAGGCCATCAGTTGGCCCTTGCGCCATAAAACACCACACATTATCATCATAATCAGAAGAAAACAGCCTGTCTTTGTAAATAATCAGGAAAATTCACACCGTTACTTTATTTCATTCAGCAGAATAAACACGAAGTGCAAAGCTGCAAGTTTATTGTAGATGCACAATATCAGACATAACGAGGCTGGTAATAGCCTACAGCCACTATACAAGTGATTATCGCTGCACTTTTGCTCTTAGTCAGCACAAAAGTTTCGCCTTTCCAGCTCGTCCATCAGATGGCTGCGGCAGTGCCACTTGGCGCGTCGGACATGGCGCGTCCGACATCTGCTCGCACGGCTCGCCTCCCTCTCACCGGCGCCACTTGCCCACGCGCGATCCGACGAAGCGCGACCAACCCTGCGAGGAGGAGTCTTTTGCTCTTTCGTACTGCTGGCTTCACAAAATATGTCGTAATGGCCACTCCTTATGATTCCTTCCTCTGGGTAAGGAACTTGGCCATTAATAACACCGTAGTGAACGGAGCAATGGGATCTACTTAGGAACCAATCATTGCAGATATCCCAATGCACTTTCTGGTCACCCGAGGAAAATGTATTGAAATAATTTTCAGTTTTTCATAACACCACAGAAACGCTTTAGTATTAAACGACTTCATCTGTTCTTTATGCAGCACTTCTCCAAGTTCACCGGCGTGGTGTCGGCCTTCAGCAGCTTCTTCAGCGACTATGCGAAGTCACGGATAGATGATTACGCCGTGTGCAACTATAAGGTAACCGCTACAATGCATTTGCATTCGCTCACGTGGTGAGGTTGTGGCGCTCACTCTCGCACCCCACTGAAGTCATTGGTACGTGTGCGAAATCTTATTACGAAATTAATGCAATTCCTTTCTGTTAAATGTACTAATATATAAACCTCACGTTATTTCATTTTGCCTGTGTTTGAGGGCCGCAAGCCGTGATGTAGTGAATGGTTTGCTTTGAGCGGGATCGCGCCACACGGACAAGCCAGGCTCTTGAAGTGCTGAACACTCAAAACCAAAACAGCTATTTATGACACGGCTAAAAAATCACCTGCCGCTTTTTATCAAGTCAGCGAATTTAAGTAAGTTGTTCTCGCGTAGTGAGTTCCAAGAAAAAGCTCACGAGTTGTCCAGAATTTGACAGAATGCGTGAGAACGAGATGGGGGTCCCCATAGGGTACAGTGAATGCGGACACAGCCTTCTTTTGTATGCTTTCATATTCAACGAGGCTTATCGGTGCATCGGGTGGAAGTTTTATAGAAATAGTGCGTTAAGTGCTATCGCAACAAATGCATTTATTAGATACCTACATTCTAAGGCAAAAACGTGTTAAAAGGGTGTGTGCTTCGTCCTTTTAGGGGCTAATGGGGCTGCCACAACCATTGATCTCTTAAAGTACTAACGGCACCGGGTCTAACAGTTAGTCTCCTCAAGGGACTAGCATTTACTCCTCACATTTACACCCTGCTGAGTAACCGTTAGTCCCACAGTTCATCCCAAAGCACTAACATTTAGTCCTCCCATTTGCACCTTATAGAGCAACTGTTAATCCCCACATTTACACCTTACCAGGCAACCATTAGTCCTCACATTTGCACCTTGCCGGACGAACGGTTGATCTACTCAAATACTCCAATCGAACAAATTTTTTGTCCCCAGTTAAAACGTTGTTTTTTGTTTATTTTCCGCCAGGCCTAATACTTTTTTCGCCTGCTTTTCTGCACAGTTAGCAACAAATTCCGCAGAAAAGAACACGCGAAAAAGTAGTTAGCCACCTATGTGTAACTGCTTTCACAGTCACGGCAACAACAAAAAAAGTGAGACGTGGAAATCTTTTATTTTTCTACTTACACATGAAGTTTCGCCATTCTTTTAAGCGAATTCATGGCGCAGTGTGCAGGTCCAGTCTCGTTGCCAAATCTTGTTCACTCCTTGGGGAGCTCCTCCGACGGAAGCGTAGATGACAGGCATTGCAGACGTCAGTGCACGCAGCCTTGTGCCTGTTGTGTTCCCACGGCTTCACGTACAATACTATAGTAAAGTAGTTAGGCACACGTCACAGAAGATGAGCTTGCACGCATGCGACAAGTACGTGCACGTTAATATAAAAACAAGCGTTAAAATATGACGCACAAATAACTTTACTTTCACATCTCGCACAGTCCTTCTGAAGCTGCTCTGACGAAAGAGATGGATGACGGGCATCGCAGACGCCAGCGCACACAGCCTTCAGCATGGTGTGTGCCCACGGCTGCACAAAAAGTATGTAAAATAGTGAGACACAAACGACAGAAGATGATTACAAATGCATATGAGAAATACGTGCAAGGTGAAATGAAAACATGCGTGAGATATGGCATGCTAAAAATTTCACCATGATGTCACACATCGTCAAAGACTCATTTCGATCCCCGTAGGGTAACAGCTTAGGAGCAGCGGCCGCAGCCACAACTCCGCGAACCACCATGCCGCTAACAAGTCGGCGAGTCCTAAGCGAGCGACGTCGTTCAGCTCGAGCAAGCGAACGTGAGACCAAACACGGCACTGCACGCGGAGTGTCTGCCGCCAGCGAACTTCGAACAGGAGAGCGAGCGTACGCTGGGCCGCCGCCACGAACAGCGCCGAGCTGGTTTGGAGCTAGCACCGACGAAATCGACGGCAATGCGGCCCCTTTCCACAAACTCGAGCGAGTGAAGCGCGCAAACGCGAGTCCGCCGCCGCGGCCAACGGACTGAGCTTAGCTGCTTGCGACCGACTGACGGAGAAGCCAACTGTAATGGCGACCAATTTTCAGTGAGTTCAGACGCTAGCGAAAGTCCCGCTAGCCCGTGCTGGTGCACTTACAGCGCGCGACATACTACAATTAAGCTCTTTACGAGAACCCGCAACTTGTTTTTGACGACTCCCAACACATCGACGAGGTCTCAGCCCAATATCGTCAGCACGGTGCTCATCGCGGCTCCGAAGACAGGCGAGCACTCGATGAGCGAGCGTACGGGAGGCCGACAGCAATGGCGGCCAATTTCCAGGCAGTCGCAAAGCACAGGAGAACTGCTGACGCCGAAGCTGACCTTCACGATGCATTTCGTGCGTGCGATATAGAACATGACCGAGCCCGTTGCCGGCATGCGCGATGGCTAGTTTATTCTACTCTACAAGTAGAGTAGAATAAAGAATGATAACCTACTTGCCTTAGAATCCGTAGCCGTTTTCTGGCCTGAGTCGGACTGAAGTATATATCCGATAGGCCTGTTCTTTTCGGCCGCCATATTGGCCTTCCCAACTGTTGCTGTCGTGTGTTGGTCGTGACTATCTTGAAGCCAGAGATTTACAGCGCGGCGTGCGACCGGTCGAGGCTTGCTCCAAACTTCATTGGTGCAGCGAAACATTAAAGCAGCCGCCCACGGTCACCCAGGCGTACACACAAGCACCACGTCGTAATTGTTAGATCGTCGATTCCGGGCGGCCGTGGTCGAGCACTTCAAGCCGGATGCTACGCCATGACGCTACGTAACCGCCGCCGGCAAAATACGGGGAAAGACTGAGCCAGCAGAGGAGGAGAAGGACATGTGTTTTGTGGAGAAGGAGAGCTGGTCACCTTGGCAACGCTTTTCGCGCTGCCTCCAATGCCCGGGCGGTTCATTTCTAGTGAAGAGTGGTTTCGCGCTGCACACTTCCCTCTGTGGTCGCACCTCAACGGTCTATCCGTTCATCGCGTACGCCTATTGGGCTCCGTTACTCCTTATCCGGGTAATTTTGCCTTAGAGTGTATGGAAATAGAAGTGATCTGATACGCTGGGCAGCCTCCTAAAATACGCCGCACTCTAAATGTGAACATTTGGACGTCATGTGAGCAAGCACTAATTGCTGCTTGAAAAATTCAAGCGTGCTTTATGTACGGTTTTCAAGGTACCACTGCTCCTATTTTTAGGGCTGAAAATATTCTGCTCAGGCACATGTTCAAATCGGCACTCGTATTCACGGTGTTTACTTGCGGCTTCCCAGTGAATGCATTGTAAAAGTTGACTGAGACTCATTGCAATTTCTCACCATGAATGACTGCGTGATGTTACTTTTTTTAGCTGGAAAAACTACGGCTTGAAAGTTTGGCTCCGAATACTTCCAAAGCACTAAACATGGACATCGACTTCTACGACGGGGTAAGTCAATATGAACACGCGTCAAGATGTTATAGAAAAAAAACATGTTGCTCTTGGTCAGATCAGTGGCCACGTTATTCTTTTCGCACAAAACTACAAGATGGATTTCATTTATCGCATTTTTCCAACTGAAAACCCGGAGTTATTAGAAGCAAACAGCTGGTATCTTTCCGCAGTTACAGCTGCGAGCAGTATAGGCGTGCCTCCTTCTAGCGTGAAAATCAGGGGCGCAGCCAGAATTGTTTTTCGGGGGAGTTCACTCGATTCAGGGGGGGGGGGGGAGGGAGGTGCAAGAATCAGCTTTTATCAGTGACGTGACTATCGGCAGTAGTTTGAGCAGATTGTGTACATGTATATGAAAGTCATGACAATCCGCACCCCTCCCCAAGCGTTCACTTGTGAAGAGCGCAAGTAAATGTTAAGTAACCGCACTATAATACAGTACGCGGTAGATACACAGGCCGTTTGGAGCAACGGTCTCTCGTCGCATCATTGAATGGGCTAGCCTTCGAAAATGACTCTTCGCCATGACTAGCCCAAACGGAGAAGACATCGTTAATCGTTAATCTCCGTTAAGCGCAGATGACGTAGTCCTCGTCGAGTCAAAGTGCATTTGTCGAGTCAGGACGGCTCCACATTGAACGTGGAATTACAGGTACACGCAGCATGCTTTGTACATTCATAATTAGATTTCGGTTCTGCTTACTATGCTGAGCGAGCTTTTTACGGTCAATGTTTTTGATTGCGTGCCTATGGGAATAATTTTTTTGTTAACTTCTATGTGTCAAGCAGGCCTTGCGGCAGTGATAGCTTTAACTCAACTTTTTTTTTTACTTTAATGCACGCATCCAAGCGTTTTGCGATACGCAATAAGCACTTTTTTGTAAGCTATCCTCCTCGTGGGTAACACGGTTTCGCACATGTTATTTTTCGGGCAGACTTTCTCTCAATCTTGGTTGACTTTACAGTTTGCACTGTGACTTTTGATACCGATGAAGTACTCGGATAATCGGGGTTTTATTGTGCATTCTGCGAAGGCAAGATAATCGTTGTTGAGAAATATTTTTCTGTTCTCCATCCAAAAATGCACCTGGGACCAGACTATGCCTACTCATATAGAAGTGGCTTGCTCACTGCGTATATGCGCTAGAAAAGTTAAATACGAAAAAAAGCGTAATGTTCTATTTTTTTAGCTTTCGTCACTCTGCTCCCTGAAACGACAGCGTTAAGACAAGGTGTCTTCCGTTGTTTGCAAGCGTGCAGACGTGATTTCCTTTTACGTCAATTGATTCAGAACTGTACTGAATATTTCACCGTGCAGCATAGATAGGCCATGTATACACTGTTCTAACTAGCACGTGCATTCGTGTTTGCAGCACTTACGCTGGCGCGAACAGGAGCAGCCTCGTACTAGACAAAACCTCGAGTGATCAATTCGCTATTCATGAAACAATGAACTCCGGTCTTGCTCAGAGCACAGTGCACCATAACGAATTTCTCAGAACACGTGAACTCTGACTAGAACTACTAGCGCATCTCCTCTCACCGACAAAAGTTGGTTGCACGTTTGTGAGTATATACAAGGTGGCCCAGATACCTTTAGCCAGAGTTGAAAAATATGCCAACACATGCCAACATATGCCTGGAGTTAGTTAAACTATTTGTTGCGTTGTAAAATTTGATTTAACTATATCTGTTTAATTATTTATCTTTTGAAGGAACGAAGATAAATAAAAAATCAATGAGAAAGTGGCAGATCAGAATGTCCCATTAGTCAGTTGTGAACTTTATATCTGGTAAGTATTAGTGTTTTTCTGTCTATAGCGAATGCCCGCGAAATACAAAAAATACCAAGTGACAACACGATAGCGCCAATGCACAAGATGATTCTAGTGCTCCCTAAGGTGTCGCATACGAACGACACGGTGCCCTAGCAGCGGTTCATGGCAGCGAAAAGAAATCACAGCAGTTATCGTTTTTGTGGTCCATATCAAAACATATTCATTGTAAAGCCACTACCATTGTTGCGGCTTTGTCAAGACAGCACATTCGGGTAAATCGATTGATTGATTTGTGGGGTTTAACGTCCCAAAACCACCATTTGATTATGAGAGACGCCGTAGTGGAGGGCTCCGGAAATTTTGACCACCTGGGGTTCTTTAACGTGCACCCAAATCTGAGTACACGGGCCTACAACATTTCCGCCTCCATCGGAAATGCAGCCGCCGCTGCCGGGAATTGAACCCGCGACCTGCGGGTCAGCAGCCGAGTACCTTAGCCACTAAACCACCGCGGCGGGGCTACATTCGGGTAAATCAGAGAGCACAATCAGGTCGTGCGTACGCGCAGTGCCAGAGAGCACTTGAATTATTGTGCGCACTGGCGCACGAACGGGTTTGCCACATGGTATTTTTTTATTTCATGGGCATTTGTAATTAGCAGAAAAACACTAATACTTAAAAGATATAAAGTTCAAAACGTTTTAATCGGACGTTTTACAAACCAATCTACAACTTTCCTATTGAAGTTTTTATCCATCTTCGTTCCTTGAAAAATGCGTTTGATTGATTGAGTGATTGATATGTGGGGTTTAACGTCCCAAAACCACCATATAATTATGAGAGACGCCTTAGTGGTGGGCTCCGGAAATTTCGACCACCTGGGGTTCTTTAACGTGCACCCAAATCAAAAAAGTTAGTTATTTAAACAGATCTATATAAACAATATTTTCGAACCCGAAAAATAGTCCAACTCCAGGCATCGGTCAGTAACATAACTTTCGTCGCATCGTATGGCGTTTGTCGGCATAATTTTAAACTCTGGCTTGAGTTAGCTGGGGTACCCTGTATAGATAACGGACTGTTTGCTCTGGCACGTTGAAAAAAAGTAACAGTTTCGCCAAAAGGGTGAAGCAATCAATGTGACAGCAACATAGTGGAATGTTTTGCGAAGCAAAGCTAGAATTTCGGGAGCAATAATAATAGTTGTAAACATGTGCTTGCTAAGTAACAAAGTTTCCTACGGGGGGGGGGGGGGGCCCAGTAGATGACCGCAACAAGGCTCGTGCGCTAGTGACGGTGTTGATCAACGAAGTGAGGCTGGCATTGAACTCGTTTACTTAGATACGATCTAACGTAACTCCACAAAACGCTGGTGTAAGAGAACACGATCGATCCAGGTGAACTTTTGGCACCGTTTTTTTCGTGTTGAGAGCGCATCCCGTAGAAGGTGCCGCATGCTGTGGGGGCACGTGCCGGGCGTTTATTGTTGCCGCGATAGCGCGGCAACCATAAGCTTCCTCACTGCCTCGTTCGCTTTCGGGCATGGTGTGCTCGCGAGAATAGCGTGCGCGCAGACGACCCCGGCCAGAAAGGCGATGCTCGCTCCCGAGAAAGAAGAGGCTGGCGCATCCTTCCCCGTATGGCAAACAATGTTCCAAATATTGCCGTGAAGTTCTTGTCTCGCTTCAAACGTGATCTAAGAGTAAAGTCAGCAAGAAAGCACAGGCTTAACACGTCAACTCTTGGTTTCAGTACAAATCAACCTGTGTTCGTGAACGAACATCTGTGTCTTGAAAATAAGGTTTCATTAGGTAAGGCTTTACAGAGAAAGAAAGATAAGAACTGGAGATTCGTCGGGGTTTCCGAAGGAAAAATCCTTGCTAGTTAGTCTGAGAACTCGAAAGTAGTTCACGTTACATGCGAGGATGATCTCGCGAAACTAGTGTAGCTGCTCTTCTTGATCACCTGCCACAAGAATTTTCAAATAAATGGCTTTCACGATAGCTCAAGTAGATCAGCTCATAAATAAGACATACACTAACATATTCCACTGCAATATTCACAGTATAAAGAAAAACCTAATTTGCTTCTTGCTTTCTTAGCTAAACATACAAACCACTTTGATGTGCTAGCAACTACAGAAACATGGTTAAAAAAAGGAGAGAATGTCAACATTCGCGTATACAAAACCATATCACATCAGCGAGACTCATGTTCACGTGGTGGTGGAGTGGCGCTTTTTGTAAAAAAAAGGCTGCGCATATGCAGTTATATCCTTGCTGAACCACAGCTCTCCCGATCTAGAAGCACTTTTTATCAGACTCCACTGTTTTGGCATAATTGACATGGTTTACCGTCCACCAATTTCCAATGCAGCGCATTTCCTCGATAGGATGGAAGAAATTCTTTTCTGTCTTTCAACTAAGTACCAGAACCGAGCAGTCATCGTTGGGGATATGAACATAGACACCGCAAACACTAGTTACACTCATTACACACAATTGGGTTAGTTCATTCAATTTTCGTAATCTTATACATACCCCTACTTGAGTGACCAGTACGTCGGCAACAACGACTGATCACATCTTAACTAACGTATCATCGAAAGTGAATGCTGGTGTTTATAATGAACCGATAGCAGATAAACTTTCTACCTTTGTTTCCATAAGGACAACTCCAAACAAGAATGCACAATTTTTCAGCAATGCAAGCAAAATAAATGACAACTTATTACGGGATCACATTCTCTCCATCAAATTTGAAACATTGTATGACGATGACGCCAACAATGAATTAGAGAACGTAACAAAAGCCCTTCGCCATGCCATTGAATGCAGTCGTTCAAACGTGTTTGCACGCTCATATAACACCCTGCTAACTCCTTGGATGATAACAGAGATCCTTGCATTGCTGAAGAAGAAAGACTTCTGATACCACAAGTGGAGACAGCACAAAGAAATGAAATATTATTTAGGTAAATTCAAACTGGTAAGAAACCAATCCGTGAATCTAATGAGGCAACAAAAAAAGGTATATTATTCTCGACTCATTTTCCAAGCACAAGGTGATTCAAAGAAAACATGGCAAATTGTAAAAGAAGTTGTCGGTAAAGAACCAACACAGCGTGTGTCACCTAATGTAGTCGATGCGCGTATACTTGATAAATTTAATCTATTCTTTACTGAAATCGGCTCTACCTTAGCCGCGGAATTCCCTAGT